CAAAAGTACATTACATGAAGTATTGGTATTATCAGACACAAACTAAAAACAACTGTGCGTACTGTGTTCAAAGAAAGAAAAAGAAAAACAATCTTGAAAAATCTGGCAGGGAACTAAAAACTATAAAAAGTGACGTAGCAGATTTGAAAAGAACCAAACAGAAATTCCAGCTCTGAAAATAAATGAAATTGGGATCTCAAGGGACAGGGTGGACAGCAGATTAGACACAGCTAAAAAGAGAAATAGTGAATTGGAAGTTAGGTGAAAAGAAAGTATCCAAAATGCAGCCCACAGAGATTAAAGATGGAAAATATAATAGTGAGAGTAGGAGACCTAGAATATAGAGCAAGAAGGAGTATCATACCTTTAATAGAAGTCCCAGAAGGAGAGAACAAAAAGCATGTGACCAGGCATTCCTCACGTGAATCTATTCTGTGGGAGTTTGTTATGGTAATGAAATGTTTTTGCCCTTAAATAAGTAGAACACTGATCACAAGCCCTGGGGGAAAAAAGCCTCAAGTTATCCTCTCTCAAAGCTCTCTGCTAATTTTCAACCAGCCAAATCCTGAGGAGGGAGTCCCCACTGGCATCTGGCTGAAGCCTGAGATGGCAGAGTTTTGCAAGACACAGGAAGGGGCCTGGAGTTGGGACTCTGTTCTCTTGAGAGGTGGGGAAGAATACCTACAGAAAGCAGGGTGGGGACACCAGACAGGGAGGGTGTCAAGAGACACCAGGGTGAGGAGCCTGAGGAAGTCTGGGAAAACAGAGCAAAGACCTAAGAGGGGTCCCCATGAATGCCTCTGAAGGGTTAAACTGCACTTTACGTCTCTCCCCTACACATCTGGTTTCCAGTGACCTAGTCATATGGATCCTCTGGTGGGGTCCTGTCACCTGGGGTGAGCCTCTCAACCCAAATCTAAAGCAGCTCCAGGCCACCTCTCCCTCACACACAGCCCTCCGCCGTCCACAGGGAATATGACACCTCCTTTGCCTCACCGTCCACAGAAGCGGGGTTGGCTCCCAAAGCAGATCTGTGTTTCCTCACTCCCCACTCTGCCTTCTCAAGCTGAAAGCCACAGATTCACCTTTGGACCCCCTAGATTTATGTCAGACATGGCCTCCTGGGCGCCCCACCCCCAACCCCAGGAGACATGTATCATGTTCCCCTAGCAGTCTCCATGAAGCTCACCATACCAGGTTTGAGGTGAGGGGAACCCCTCCCTTTGGGTTTGGGACCCCAACTGCCCAAGGGGTTAGGACTCATAACACAGCTTTTTACAAAGAAATTCTCTCAAAAGTCCCCAGATCTCCAGTTCCTAATCCTCTTTTGCCCTCAGTATGGGTGAGTCATCTTCCTGGTTCTCAACCACAGCGTGTGCCCTACAAGTCCTTCTGCATAGGGAGTCTTTGTCTTCATGCCTCAGCCAAAACTGCAACAGGAAGAGTCCTGATTTCATGTCTCATTATGTGTGTCACTACAACTAAATAGAAAACTCTGGAACGAGACACAATACAATGCTAACATAGTAATCACCAGAATTTGGGCTTGTGGGCAAGTTTTGTTTTATTTCACTTTTATGCATATTTCAGATTTTCTAAGACACATTGTTTTACAGACCAAAAAAAATCTAGTAGAAGAAGATGAAGGGGGAGGGGGGAGAAGAAGAGGAAGAAAATGTGGTTCCTGAAGCAAACATTGTTGGGTACCCACCCAACCACTATTTCCCCATTCCATCCTCATTAAATAACCCTTCACAAATTGTTTTCATGTGTCAGGCAGCCTGAGCTTCCGAGGAGGCTGGACTCTCTTCTGCTCCAAAACTGACACTTGTCAGTCACTTGTGGCAATTCTTTTCCCCTTGCCAGGGACTGACTGCCTTAGGAAAGCACATGCAACACAAGAGAATAAACTGTGACACATTCAGGTAACAGGATATTACTCAACAAGAGAGACAGAAACAAGCTATCAAGCCACAAAAAGACACGGAAAAAGTTTAAATACATATCGCTAAGTGAAAGAAGCCAATCTGATTCCAGTTCTATGACATTCTGGAAAAGCAAAACTATGGAGGCAATAAAAAGATCAGTGGTTGCCAGGGGTGATGGAGGAAGGAGGTGAATAGTTGAGAATAGTTGGCACACAGAGGATTTTAGGGCAAGTGAAACTATTCTGCATGATGCTACGGTGGTGGATACATGTCATTAAACATCTGTCCAAACCCACAGAACTACAACAACAAGAGTGAGCCCTCATGTTAAACTACTACGGACTGAGTGACAACGGTGTGTGGACATAGGTTCCTCACCTGTTCGGATGGACCGCTATGGCGGGGGATGCCCATGGTAAGGGAGACTGTGGGGTGCGGGGTGGGGTAGGTGGGGCATCTGGCAACTCTCTGTACTTTCCTCTTAGTTTTGCTTTGAGCCCAAAACTCCTTAAAAAACAAAGTCTATTGAAAATAACAAGTTTTGAAAAGACGGGAGAAAAGAAATAGTTCCTTTCCTGCGTGTTAACAACAGGGCCTTGTGAGATGCAATGCAGCCCCCAGTGAATCGCAATGGAAAGACGGAGAATACGGAGAATTTAATTCGTAGCTCGTGGGCAGCACAGCCGAAGCAGTTCCCGCCCCTCCCCCCACCCCCCGCCAGTGCAAGCAGTAGGAGTGCAATGGCAGAGAATTTTAAGATATCCATAAAAAAAATCAAAAGTCAGTCTCCACTTTATTATCACCAAGCAGCAATTTTAAGCTATATTAGCGATAAAATAACTCTTCCCTAAAAAGTGTCTTGTTGGTCTAAGTTCTAACCAAGCGCTACTGTTACCGTTGGGTTTTAGTACACGTGAACTTCTACTTGGCACGTCTTCAGTACTTAGCCTTTCATAAGCATGCATTCCACCTGACAGTGAACTTCATTTTTTAGAGCAGTTTTAGGTTTACAGAAAACCTGAGTGCACGTGGTCTCCCGTATTATTAATGTCTTGCGTTAATGTGGTACATTTGTTGAATTGATGAACCAATACTGATACACTATTATTAACTAAAATCCATAGTTTTACATTAGGGTTCACTCTTTGCAGTGTAAGTCCTATGCATTTTAACAAATGTACAGTGTATTCACCGTTCCAGTATCATATATAAGAGCTTCACTGCCCTAGAAATCCCCTGTGCTTCACCTACTCAGCCCTCCCTGATCCCCTGGCAACCACTGATCTTTACTGTCTCCCTAGTTTGGCCTTTTCCAGAATGTCACAGAGTTGCAATCACACAGTATGCAGCCTTTCCAGACCAGCTTCTTTCCCTTAGCAATATGCATTTAACGTTCCTCCATGTCTTTTCATGGCTCAATAGATCATTTCTTTTTCTCACTGAATAACATTCCATTGTCTGCATATATCACAGCTCATCCCTTCATCTGCTGAAGGACATCTTGCTTGCTTCCCACCTGTGTGTTTCTAGGGTGAGTTTCTAAATGGTCAGAATCATTCAGATGCAGTTTGTGTCCCCAAACCCTAGGATATTAGACATTTCTGCCTTTTAACAGTAAATCCAGAATAAAGAATGACAGCCAACTGAGTGTGAAAACAAAACAAAGCAAAACAAAACAGAACTTGAGTTTCTTCAATTCTGTTTTTCTCTAGGACCACTTGAAGGTTTGTGTTGTGTTTAAAATCCAAAAGTATGAAGCAGAATATGAAGAGAGTATGAAGAGAGAACTGACAAATAGAATGTTTTTGTTTGGTAAGCACAATGTTTGTTTATACGTGAAATATCTTACTGAATTTGAACAGTATCTTTAAAATTGAAATTTCTTCTGTTTGCTTCTTTCAAGACTGTAGAAAAAATTAAGAAAATAATTATTACTGGGGCGCCTGAGTGGCTTAGTCAGTTAAGCATCCAACTCTTGGTTTTAGCTCAGGTCATGATCTCAGGTTATGAGATCAAGCCCCATGTCCGGCTCTGCACTCAGCACAGTCTGCTGGAGATTCTCTCCCTTGCCCTCTGCCCCACCCCCCACTCATGCTCACTCTCTCTAAAATAAATAAATAAAATCTTTTTTTTAGAATTTTTTATTTACTCATTTGAGAGAGAGAGAGCATGAGCAGGGGGGAGGGTCAAAGGGAGAGGGAGGAGCGGAATCCCCACTGAGCAGGGAAGCCCACGCCAGGCTCCATCCCAGGACCCCAGAATCACGACCCAAGCCAAAGGCAGCCGCCCAAACAACTGAGCCACTCAGGTGCCCCAATAAAAAAAAAAAAAAAATCTTTTTTAAAAAAGAATTACTACTGATTACATGATTATTAGTCAAAATAATTTCATTATGTTCATAATTCTCAGATGGCCTCTAAGATTCCTGCCACCTGCTGTACATGGCCTGAATAATCCCCTCACCTTGAGTGTGGGTGGGACCATTGAATACAATGGACTATTACAATCACTTGACTTGGAGTTCATCAAACGGGAGATTTTCCTGGGTGGGCCTGACCTAATCAGGTGAGTCCTCTTAAGGAAAATGACAAGTCGTTTTAAAGAAAGGTTTCTCCTGCTGGCCTTGAAGATGCGGCCTCCATGAATTCCATAGCTACGAGGAAACTAATTCTGCCAAAAGTTACACGTGCTTGAAAGAGGCTCCCAAGCCTTAGATGACCCCACTCTGGACTGACACAACCTGGACCGCAACTTCGTGAGACCCTGAGCATGAAAAGAGGACCCAGCTAACCCACGCTGGGCTGCCCCCCACCCCAACCAACAGAAACTCAGATAATAAATATGTGTTGTTTTAAGCTGCTGAGTCTGTGGAAATTTGTTACAGCAGCAACAGAAAACTAATACATGTGCCTGAGGCCTCCCAGCTGATCAGAGATTCACACTATGCAGGAATCCTCGTCACTGCCTGCACATGCCAAAACAGAGGAGTTAGGTGTCTTAGCCAGGATCCCACCGTTAGTAAGTGGCCTGACTCTGGGCCCTGGTGGGTTTGCTCTGTGGCTGATCCTGCAGGTGGCTGGTGGACGACATGCCCTCCCTGCTGTCACTGTCCGATTGTTATGGTGACTTGCAGTGATTTCTGGTGATGACAGGAGCCTGCAACTAAGAAGGGCATGGGTGGGGGCAGTTCCCCGCACAGACTCATCGCTGCTCCCCCTTCAATCCCACCTGCTCACTGGGTGGGCAAGTGGAGCCCAGGCCCCCAGTCACGGCCTGTCCCAGCCCTCTGCTTATTCCCTCCACAGCACATTTGCAGTGACTCCTTTTGTACCTCTCACCTTGGCCCAGCCTCCCCTTCGGAACGTCAGCCCTGTGAGAGTCCACATCTGACATGGGCTCCCGGTGCCTGCCAGGGCTCTGGGTACGCAGGAGGCACTTCAGGACACTTGCTGAGTGGATCACAGGGTGAAAAATGATAACTTCTCTTCCTCCTCCGGATCCCAAGGGCTGCAGGGGCTGAGGAAACTCCATCCTTTCTCCTCCTCTCCCACGGCCTCATCTCCTAGGGCTCCACAGACTGCTCCCTTGCGGGGGGATATGGGGGAATGAATCCCCCACCCTTACCAGCTCTGCTCCAAATCACCCCACTCCACTCCACTGAAGAGCTTCAGGGCCGGGAGCAGCCCCTGCCCAGGGGGCCTGGAGCCTCCCAGGTTCCCAGACACGGCACCTGCTCCCTCTGCTGGCAGAAGTGGGCAAGTGCATGGAGCTCCCCGCCCCCGGGGAGATGCGGGGAAACGCAGGGAAGGCAGAAGGAACCCCTGAGCCTAGAAAGACCCAGGGTAGGAAGACGCTGGGGGAACTCAGTAGCCTGGCCTGAGTCAGGCCCGTGAGGAGCCTCCTGCATACGGGTTCCTGAGTCAGAGCTCCAGGACTCATGTCTAGGTCCTGACACGTGTGGCTATGGGACCTTGGGAAAGTTACCTACGTAGTCTGTGCCTCAGTTTCCCCCATAGAAGTGGGAATGAGGTGTTACCTCATCATGTTGCAGTGAAGAAGAAATGAGATCAGTAATTAGCTCAGTCCCTCACACATTTGTAGACGCTTAGGAGATGTCAGCCCCTGTTCCTACCTTGGCCAGATGCCTAGCCCAGGAGGCCTCTGTGAAGGCCCTGGCTCAGGACGCAGGCCACAGATGTGAAGGGCAGACCCGGCACACCCAGGATCCCTGAGATCTGTGAGGGAGGAGAAGACCGCTCACGGGGGAGGTGAGTGAGGGAAGAGCTCATGCCTCATACCCAGTCAGCCCATACATAGCACGTGGCGATTGCTCCAACATAAGAAGATGTCAGATTAACTTTCCTGGAGGCCCTTGCAGGACAGGAGGCCCCCCTCAGCCCCACCCGCAGGGCTGGATAGGCGACTCCAGACCAGGAAGGAGAGCGTTGCTTCCACCAGGACAGCACATTACTCACAGGGGAGGCAGGCCTCGAGCTGCCCAGCCCTAATAGCTACCTGGTTTCATCCCGCGATCATAACAGCTGGTACCGCACACACACCCACCACACACGCCCTCATCGATGCCTGCAGCAGTCCTGCCGGATGCATGCTATTACTTCTACCACAGAGATGAGGAAACTGAGGCACAAAGTAAGCGGCAGAGTCAGAATTCGCACCCAGGTCAGGGTGGCTCTCCGAGTCCTTGTTCTTCACATGACCTATGCATGTGTGCCTCATACACTATTTCTAGTCCTAATCCAAGAAGCCCTCACCACCCTCAGTGGCCACATGTGGTTTCAAAGCCACGGCTGGCTGGGGTGCAGCTGTGGCTGGGGGCAGCACCTGGGGTGGGGAACGGCGGTCCCAGGACCAGATGGCACTATGGGCACCTCCTGGCTGGGTGACCTTGGGCAAATCACTTAACCCCTCTGAACCACTATATTCTCATCTGCAAAAGAAACGTCCTCCTGACTTAGAGAGTGGTTGTGGGGATCAGAGATCCTGTGTGTCCAGTTCCCAGCACAGCAACACGGAGCCCCTAGGCACAGAAGACTGTTACTGTTGGTGGCTACCGAGGCGTCACCGCGGTGTCTGATATTCCCCCCTTCCCTTGGACGCTGACCAGCCTTAGGGACTTGCTGCTGATGAAAGGAATAAAGCGGAAGCGAGGGTGGGCACTTCAGAGAGCAGGCAGTAAAAGGTACATTCCCTCCATACTTGCTTCTAGATCAGTCGCTCCAGGGAAGCCAGCTGCCACGTTGTGGGGACACTCGGGCTGTCCATATGGCCTCCGGCCAGCAGCCACATGCGTGAACTTGGAAGCAGTCCTCCAGCCCCAGCCAACAGCTTGATTGTAACCTCATCAGAGATCCTGAGTCAGAACTACCCATCAAAGCCACTCCTGAGTTCCTAACCCACAGATGCTGCGGAGATCATAAATGTTTGCCGTTCTAAGTTTGTTGTTTATCAGTTACAAAAATAGAAGGAATACACTTTAGAATCAGCATCCTTGGACAGCAATTGCTTTGGAGTCAAGCTGCCCCAGGCTCCTTCATAGCTGTGGTCACAGGGAAATCTGCATTGAAGAGGTTCCTGGCCATGAAAGAAAGAAGGATAACTAATATTTACTGAGCACTTGCCATTGGCCAGGCATGGAGCCAAGACTTTCCATTTATCCTCCTAACAAAACCCCCAAGAGGGAAATACTAACACCCTCATTGTACAGACGGGGAAACTGAGGTGCCAAAGGTTGAATAACCTACTGAAGATCACACAGGGCAGGATTTGCATCAAACTCCAAATGCTTAACCAGTACGCTGCATGGCCCCCTGAAGGGGACAGTGGCTCAAAGGCCCACTCCCCGCTCCTGTCCCACCCAGCCCCCACCACAGCCACCACACACTTGCTCTCTCTCCTGTGAGCGTGACTAACACAGGCTCCGGGACAAATCCCACCCAGCGCTTCTGTCCTCCCCCTCCTATCAGGGGAGTCCACCCCTCACTCCGTGCTTGGTCACAGAGCTTGTTCCTGGTGAAAGAGGCCCCGCCCCCAAGTCATCTAGTCCAGCGCCCCTTCCCATTCGCCCAGACACAGAAACAGGCCCAGAGAGGTGCAGTGGCTCATCTAAGGACACAGAGGCAACCAAGGAAGCCCTGAGCAGGAACCTGGGTCTCCTGGCTTCTCTCAATCCAGCCTGCACACAGGGGCTGCCTTTCCCAGCATCACCTGCCCCAGTGCCCTCTGTGGGTCCCATCCACCCACCAGATACCCGGGGTTGGAACCAGAGGCCAAACTTCCCAGCATCCTCCACTGCCCCAGCCCCTGAGGGAGCCAGGAGGAGGGGGCTTATCTCCACCTGTGAGGTGATGTTGTCTCACCCCACCCCCACCCTCCCTGCCAGGCTGCCTTGATTAATGGGCTGGTGCTATCTTATCTCCCAGCTGCAGCAGTTAGGGATTAATGGGTAGTGGCAGGGCCCCAGGAGGACACATTCTGCCCCCAGATCAACCTGAGAGGTCCGCAGGAGGGCGGGGAGCAGGACAAGAGGGCACCAAGGGGTCTGTTCTCCAGCTGCCATCTTGCTCTCCTACTTGAACTGAGTCACTGCAGAATGTGTAAAGCACTCAAGACTGTGCCTAACACTTAACAGGAGCTCAGGAAATGGTAACCACTATTACTTTGGGCTAATGTCAGCTCTGGGAGTCCTTGGGCCTATGCCTGCCCTGGGGTTGAGCTGCCCCAGTTTGCTAGCCAAAGTCTTGACCACCAGACAGCCCCTGAGCTAACTAGGAAGTCACCTCCCACTCCAGCCTCAGGTCCCCATCTATAAAATAGGCCTAAATTTGGGGTTTGGAAACAGGGTTGTAGGTCTGATATTATTTTATTGAGTGACCTGAGTGCAGGTTTAGGGAGTTATTTATCTAGATATAAAGCTTTAGAAAACCCCTTCACACTCAGCCTCAATTTCTTTGTGAATGTGGTGTTATAATCTCTGATTGGCCTCCACACAGCATTGTTGGGATGAAGCCTCTGGAAAGCTGTTGGGACGGGGTGGACTTTCAGATGACTAGATAGAATAAGGGGAAAATGGATGAATGGAAGGGGAGGAGGAAAGAAAAGCAGCTGGATAAAAGGGGAGAGTGGACAAATGGAAGAAACGAAGGATGGAAGGATGCTGTAAGAGAGGCATGAAGAGATGATGGATGGATAGATGGACAGAGGGACGGACAGACGGATGGATGAGGGGTGGGATGAAGAAAGATGAATGTCAGAGTCTCACTGGCCCCCATCCCCCATTGTTTTACCGGGTACAGCAAACAAGGAGCCCAGCAGAGGACTTTATTTCCAGAAGGACATACAGATTAACTCTCTGGGGCCCCAGGAAGCCAGTCTTCCCTCCCCCACTCCAAAGACATTCCTAGGACCACTCCTTCCCCCTGACTCTCTGCCTCTTCCCACTGCCCCTTCCCAAAGGGCAAAGGGCAACACCAACCAAGGAAAGCTATCTGCTATCAGCCCCATTTATCCCAGCGTTGTTTACTCTGGGTGTGCAATTAACAGAGTCTCTTTCCCAGATCAATTAATAGTGGGGGGCCCACAGAGGGCACTGGGAGCCCCGAGAGGCCAGGTTACTCGTGGATGAACAATGGGGAATTGATGGAGCCTACTCCCTCATCCTGTTCTGAGGTGTCCCATCAGCCACCCCTTCCTGACTCTCAATGAGGCAGTTCTTAGCTCAGTAAGGCTGACAGGGGATGGTGCTAGAAAGCCCTGCCTCGAGCTATGTGGGTGCAGCTGGAGTCCCAGATCTGCCTTCATCCGGGCAGCAACCAGGATCAGGGTAAAAAGACTGGACAGGCTCGTGGTGAAGATCTGGGCCTAGGAAGGGACCAGACCTGGGTTCATAGACCCATCTCTTCCCACTAAGCAGCCATGTGACCTTGGGCAAGTGACCTAATCACTCTGAGCCTCTGTCTTCCCCTCTGTGAAATAGGACTGATGGAAAGACAGAGCTACTTCAAGGTCAAGTGTGTTGCATGGAACAAGTTCACGGAGCATGCTGGTCATTGGCCACAGCTTTGAGCTCCTCTGGGGAACCTGGGGCACATGTCCCCACCTTTTCATCCTCCTAGCTCC